AATTTTGCGGGGACAATAAATACAAAAGTAATGATGGTTTGTAATAAACCTTAAATATTGGCCACTATAAATGTTTACCCCACAAAAACTCTGTATAAATATATATAAATAAATATAACTTGTATTAAAATTTGATTAATTAAAGTAATGCGAATCATCTTTTAAATAGAAACTCTTCCAAAAGTACTTTTAATGTCTCTTAGGATTTTATCACCACACAAATATATTCTTTAATAACTAAATTATATAACTTATATTAAAGAGTTATTGTTGAAAATCAAGTGCTGACGTCGCGTGCTATAAAGTGTTAGTAAGCGTGGCAATAACCAGCTTAACTAAATTTAAGTAATAGCCAATCTAATCGGTTCAAGATTATTGCCTTGATTGATTGGCATTAACTGTTTGCCTGCAGATATTATATTTGACACTTCAAGTTGTCGGGGCTGTGAATTGTTGGTTTCTCCAAGATTTTCGCCAGATTCAAAGAGTTCAAAGTTTCGATCTTGTTAGCTTTTGGTTTGTAAGTCGTAAATGGGAAAACCCATTTCTGAATGTGTCTTTGGGCAGATAAGTGCAAGCTTTACAGGAGTTTCCATTAGGCGGACTACTGAACTTTTGGAAAAGGCAAGAAATAGTGGCCTCACCTGTTTTGCGGACATTTAGCCGACTTATGTCTGTTGGCTTTGCCAAGTAATCAGTTAAGATGGCATCGCATCCGTACACAAAGCGAGTGGCTAAGGTATACAGGACACGCTCATCCGAATCGGGGCAAATCAAATGTCTGCCAACACAAATCCAAATCAATCTTCTGTCTCCGGCTGTTTGGGTCTTGTTTGCTTAATTTGACAAACGGAATAATTTGATGAACATCTAAAATGGCAGCCAGGAACCCAGCGGTGTTCTTGGGCTCCCAGGAGCACGGACACCGCAGAATCCTCCGACTTTGTCACTAATTCAATAAGCATCCAATTACAACGCGGCGGGAGAGGTTTTCTTTTCCCTCTCCTCTCTCTCTACCCCTATCCTCCAGTTCCTCCCCCAGAAACCACCCCCTTCCATGCGTATACGCAATTTTCATTTGGTATATGAAAATTTAATGTAACTAAAAGTGCCTGTCGTCGCAATAATTTCCCCTAATTATTTTGCTTTTCTTTACCTGGGCTTTGCTGAATTACGTAGAATTTATTCATTTTCAAATGACAACCATAATGGAATAAATGTTGCACTAATTAAATAATGGTAAAGGTCATTTTAAAAGGGAATGGTAATTTTATTTAAATTTAATTTCATAATTTGTATGGACGGCTTTAACAGCTTATTTATATCGGTAAATTTATATCGGTAGCAAAACAATTTGGCTTAAGTTTTTAAAATAATAATAATAATTAATAATTCGATTTATATATTTATTTGGAGGTCAATAACAATACATACAAATCATTTTTTTTAAATGTTAAACCTAATGTGTAATTGTAAAATTACCCTAATATTTATTGCTTTATTGACAGTTTAACTAATAAGTATCAGCCCGGAAATCTTTATTTTAGTTTTACTACATTATTGTTGGGTTTTATTCTTGTATTTAATATTTTTAGTTTCATTCAAAAGAAATGGTTGAGAAATCTCCTCGTCCAATATACCCTGCCCAAGTCACTCATTGCTGGGAATGGGGATTAAAGCACGTGGAAGCATTCCTGATTGTTGATGCTGAGGAAGTGGTCTAGAATTCTTAGCCCTGGCATTGGGATTGAATGACCCAAATTCAATTTGCCAAGTCGTGTGCCGAGATCGCACCCTGCCAGCCCCGCCCTCCAATCATAAGTACGTTTCCAGTTACCAACGCAGCGGGCCACCCGACGACAAAAGCCGGGGGTTTCGGGTTTGGGTTTTAGGTTGTGAGTGTGAGTGTGTCTTGTTGTGTTGGCCATAATCAACGCAATGCAATTTCAATGTCTGACTCTCGTGTTACACTTTTGTCCCGGCTGCACCCACCTCCGAGCTCCCATTTCCCATTTCCCATTGGCCACCTCCTTCCACCTTTCACCTTTTCGACTCTGTCCAGTTTGGTTAAGCACCGCCACTTGGCCAAGGTGAGACTGAGGCAGATGGGGACTCTGAGTCAAGGATCTCGTTAGTCAAATGCCTTTCCCATGCTGACTGGGCGCTACACTTGATTTGGGTTAGCCACGACCGTGGCCAAAAGCTGCCCAAACAATTTTGGTCGATTCCTGTTGATGGGATTTGAATGTTGTGTCCGTGGAAGTTTGACTTCGGTTGGTGGATGCCTTCATATTCAATGGGTTCTCTAATGCCAGATTATGCAATCAAATTCTGATTGCTGAACATCCCTTTGATGTCCGCCAGTTTAGCTGGTTAAGAGATAGCATCAAAATTGTTGAGTAGTTCATTTTGGTGGCTGGTAAAAGCTGTCTGAACAAAGAAGTGCCTAACAAGATTAAAACGGACTTGGAAATTTATTTTGTTGACCACTTCCGTTTTGGGGTTTGGAAGACAATTTTTACCAGTCTCCTTTAAGCCTGTCCCAATGCAATAAGCTGCTTAAGAAAAAAATACGTTTTGTTTTTGTATTTTACTTAATACCAAATTTTCTTTGGTTTAAATATTCTAAAAATGTGTGGAGATAAAATAAAAATCGTCAAATAATTTTGATATTCAGTATTACTTTTAATAAGTAGTGTTTAAGCTATACTATTAAAAATAAAGAATGCTTTTAAATTCTAGCAATTGAAATGAAGCTTTCATTGCAAGCATGCCAGCATCAACAAGGCAAATACCATTAAACCATTTAGTGACATAATTTATTCTTCTTTCAGAAAACTGCAATAACAGGCAATAAATACAGTTTATGGTTTTAAAATTATTTAATTCATACTGAGAAATATGAATTTATTCTCCATCAATAAATCCACTTGATTGGACATTAAAAATTAAATACTTAATTTTACCTCTTAAATGGCGATAGAACAAAGCTCGTGGCAAAGTGTTTTTTTTAAACTTCAATATTTAACTCGATTAATCGCCTGGCACTTGAGTGACTCCGGGGTCCATAAACTACGAGTGGCTGCATCGGAGATCAAGCAAGCTGTGAAAATGCAATCGGCGGAAAAAAGTGACGGAGTGGGCGGGGCTGCATGATGGAACCTTCCGCCCACTATCTATGTAGGCCGGTGACCCGGAGGCAAATGCTCACTGACCGAAAGGGATACCAGTTTATTTGTCCACTTCCCTGCTCAGTGCGTCGTTAAATATTTACCATGGTAAATATTTGGTGATTATTTTTGGTTAAATATTTTTTGCATCTCGGATGCCAGGCCTAACCACGCGGGGATGAACGTAAATAAAAAATAAATCGAAATTCATGTGGGGCTTACACTTCGTCGAGTTGTACGGTTAGTTGGCCGGTCACCCCGGGCGTATACTTTATTTATGTATATTTGCCGACTATAATCAACTGTCCCATAAATCAAAAATGATTGATAAACGGCCAGGACAGTCGAATACGTATGGCATTTGAGCAGCCTAATAATTGCACATGAAATGTCACCATAAAAACAGTCGTTCTCCGTCGGTAATCATACGCCCCGTGTGCCCAGTGCCAGAATGGTAGCCGAAATTGCCCGACGGTGCGTGAAATTCGTTGATTACTTTATTTGGTGCCGAAAGTGCGCAACGCACTCTTCCGTGGACGCCTCCATTTCGCAGTCGCTGTCTGTCCGGGTGTTACTAGCCCTCGGCGATAAGCGGATGCCCTGCACTACAATTAACCTGTGGCTCACCACACATGACCACTCGGAAACACCCCCCCCACCCCCCATTACCAACTGCCCACAGTCCCATCCACATGAGCAAACAATCTCTGTGCTGGCAGTAAAACGCAATCGAAACAAATGAATCTCCTTTGTCCGCCTTGGCCAATTGAAGTGCCATTTTATTTGGTTTTAAATCTGATTTCAATAAGGATTTAAGCTTAATAAAAGGAGCGCTGGCAGGAAGATGATGACTGCCGGACCTGCATTTGCTTTTATCTGCCAAAACGAAATATATATATTTTTATATGACCGAGCAAATCGTTGAGGGAAAAGCTCAAGTGTAACCATTTAATTGGAAAAGAATTTCTGGTGGCCATTTGAGCTTGAACGAATGTGCTTCCTCGTGGCTAAAGACGATTAAACTCCCACGTTTCCTTAAATTAACCAATTGAAAAGCAATTCACTTAGGTAATCAACATTTAGGAAATATTTTAAGGCCCCTTGAGGTTGCCAAATGGGATATATCTCTAAGGAAATAACTGAATTTTACTGTTAAAAATTCGTTTAAAAAATTAAATAAAAACTATTAAAATTGATTTAATTTAAAATGCTTTTAGAACTCTCATGATTTAGAAACTAATATTGGTTCGTTTTATTTTACACTTGAAATAATACTACATTTTAAATGTGAATACATTAGTTTTTAACTTCTTAAATAAATTACAAATTTAATTGTTTGCCAAACAGTCAGTGAATAACAAAATTGTTGACGTATTCCCCGTGGATTTTAATGATTTTCCCAAATGTATGGTTATTCCCTGAACAAAAAAAACTACTTATCGTTATCTACATTTCATTGGTTTATCTGTGGGCTTAGTGAACCGATAATATTAACAAATTAGTATGAGGAGACACTTCATATTATCGCTTTGGTTACATGATCACAGTCACTCGAATGCCAAATCAAAACAAAGTCCAGCTGCCCATATGAATAGTAGGATTCACTTCTTGAGAATAGCGCTATCGGGCAGATAGATAGCCAAAATATCGCCCCATACACACCTGAAATAATAATATGCCAGATTATAATTATCGCTCGATATGGTCCTATTGACTTATACCGCACAAGACTTGGAGTGTTTGGCGGCTGCGTCACGGCAGTGGCTCCTAAATCTTATCGCTGGCCAATTTGGGCTGTGATTGATGGGCAAGTGCTATAAATTAGACCCGTCCTCCGGATCACCAGTTAGTCGAACTCGAGTCGACAACCAAGAAGCCAAGAAAATGATCAAGTCCATTGCTGCGATAGCCCTGCTGGTGGCTCTGGCCAGTGCCGAGTTGCACCGCGTGCCTATCCTCAAGGAGCAGAACTTCGTGAAGACGCGCCAGAATGTCCTGGCCGAGAAGTCGTACCTGCGCACCAAGTACCAGCTACCCTCCGTCCGCAGCGTGGACGAGGAGCAGCTGTCCAACTCGATGAACATGGCCTATTACGGTGCCATTTCCATCGGCACTCCGGCCCAGAGCTTCAAGGTGCTGTTCGACTCGGGCTCATCCAATCTGTGGGTGCCCTCGAACACCTGCCAGAGCGATGCCTGTCTGACCCACAACCAGTACGACTCCAGCGCCAGCTCCACTTATGTGGCTAATGGCGAGAGCTTCTCCATTCAGTACGGCACTGGCAGCCTCACCGGCTACTTGTCCACCGATACCGTCGACGTGAATGGACTGAAGGTCCAGAGCCAGACCTTTGCCGAGTCCACCAACGAGCCGGGCACCAACTTCAATAACGCCAACTTCGATGGCATCCTGGGCATGGCCTACGAGGCTTTGGCCGTCGATGGAGTGGCTCCTGTGTTCTACAACATGGTCTCCCAGGGACTGGTCGACAGTTCCGTGTTCTCGTTCTATCTGGCCCGCGATGGCACCTCCGTCCAGGGTGGTGAGCTCATTTTCGGCGGCTCCGACGCCTCCTTGTACTCCGGCGCCCTGACCTACGTGCCCATCTCCGAGCAGGGCTACTGGCAGTTCACCATGGCCGGAGCGTCCATCGATGGCTACTCGGTGTGCGATGACTGCCAGGCCATTGCCGACACTGGCACCTCCCTCATTGTGGCCCCCTACGACGCCTACTACACCCTGTCCGAGATCCTGAACGTGGGCGAGGACAACGATGTGGACTGCTCCACCGTCAGCTCCCTGCCCGACCTCACTTTCAACATCGGCGGCACTGACTTCACCCTGAAGCCGTCGGCCTACATCATCCAGTCGGAGGGCACCTGCATGTCCGCCTTCGAGTACATGGGCACCGACTTCTGGATCCTGGGAGACGTCTTCATTGGCCAGTACTACACCGAGTTCGATTTGGGCAACAACCGCATCGGCTTCGCCCCCGTCGCCTAAGTTACGATCGGTGATTCAGTGTTTCTGTGATTCAGTGATCAATAAAGCAACGTGTACCTTGAATTTGCCATTGAAATGTCCATTCTCAAGGCTGGAGGGTGTGACAATCTAATCTGTTTACGACTTTGTTAGAGGGGGCACTTACAATTGTGATTTAATTGTTTGAGGGTTTTTTATTAAAGTCAGGGCTGATTGATTTTGCTTGCCACACTCACGGGTTTTTAAGTTCTAGAAGGGTTTTCGATTTCTTTTAATTTAGAGTCTAGACCTATAACTTCTAATGAGCCAAATTTAAGATTTTTAACTAAATTTAACAACTTAATTTATGTTTAAGGAACTTTAAAATAAGTGGAAAAGAAGCTTTACATTTGTTCGTGAAAATCGAAATCGCAGTTCTACTTCGAAACAATGATTTCATATCAATTAATTTCTATTAATTAATTCGATACCGAACATAATGAAGAAAACAAAAGTTGTTTTAATCTTTTAGATATGCTCTATCTAACTGCTATTGTGTTATTCTTAATTAGATTAAAATTTAAAATTGTACGATAAAATGAATGTTATTTATTTGTTATAAGACTTTGAGACTAAGCTATAATTCCCAGAAAATGGGGTTGGTAAAAATGTCAAGAAAATCCGTATGTATATGTTGGTTCCAATATCAGCGTTTGATTAGATTCAAATCAAAACTAAAAATTTCACAAATTTTACGACAAGAAGAACAGAAGTTAGAGCTTACATTTAAATTTTATATCTAACAAACTGCGCCATCTATCTCGGAGCTGTGATTTATTGACACTTAACTAAACTGAGGCATTTATCCAACTGTGTTATCCGGTAGTCCGCAAATCCTCAGCTGGCAGTGCGACAAATGTTGACTCGGATCCACGGAGGATGCGGTGCCATAGGGGTTTTGGGGGGCGGTGGTGTGTTTTGATGGCAATGACAGAAACCATCAGTTCGGAGAGCCAATTCATTTGTCCAGCCTGTTGCCCGGGCAATGATGTGTGTCACTGGGTGTCAAGAGGTCTCTAGGGCAACGAGGAGGCAGCCACGGATGTCGGGATAGTCAGAGGGTGGCCAGTGTGATGTCAGTGAGGACTATAGTTTGCAACTGCAAACACAACAGTGACAACACCATTTGAAGGTAGCTGCAGAAGGACGAGCGGGGGTATCCGTGTGCCGTATGGCAGGAAGTGGAAGCGCAGTTGAGCAATGCAACAAGTCGAGGTCCTACCTCTGCGTACTGGGACATCAGGTCATATTGCTCTGCTACTGCTATTTAGTAGTCAACGCAAATGAGTTGCTGGCAACCAATGGACAGGGAAGTCGAGGACTCCAGAAGCAGGAAAGGAAAAACGAGAAACAGGAAGGCTAGCCCAGATAGGGGCTTTGGGGCTGGGATTGCGACTGCTTCGTTGAGCAGTTAATGAATCACTTAATGGAGAAACCTGGTCGCCAACGCCACCCGACTTCCGTTCTCAGTGTCAACTCAACGCTCGCAATCGATTTTTAATTGTGTCTGATTGATGTTGACCCAGGAACACTAAACCATTTGGCTTTGGCGAATATTTATGCAAACACTTGAAAAAATTGCCTTGGACTGAAGTCTTTTGTGACACTAAAGTATTGTAAGAACAGAATAGCTTTAAAAACTACACACAGACCAACAATTAAGGAACTTTTAAGTGTCGATCTGTTTGCTTTTATATTCAAATTAAAAATTTATTTTGATTTGTGATTTAAACATAAGAACAGAATAGCCTAAGAAACTCACACAATCCAATAGTTTAAGGCTCAGGTTGTTCACTTATATATATAAATATATTTAAATTAAAATAATTGTAAATAGATTTGTGGTTACATGCTAAATCTTTAACTAAACTACAAACTGAACAAATGTAGAGTACAAACCAACAACCAAATACTCTTAAGAGCTGGGATGCTTGCTTTCATATTCAAAAAAAAAAATATAATAAGGTATAGGACTTAAGCATAGCTCTAAAAAACTACATACAGACCAAGAATTGAAATACTTTTAAGGATCAGGATATATTCAAATTAAAATAACATTAAATATATATGTGGTTTTCAGCACATTTTACATGTTAACAAAGCCACAACTAAGGATAATCCGTTAAGTTATTATATCTTTTGCTTAATATTTTAACAGATAATTATTTGTTTCATTTACTTATTTTTTTTTAAATATATATATTTTTTCAATCTCTTTCAGGAGACAGCCGCACAATGATGACAAACCGATGTGCTTGCTTCGCCTTGGCGTTCCTGCTCTTCTGCTTTTTGGCCATCTCGAGCATCGAGGCAGCTCCAATGCCCAGGTAGTTGTACCCTGCTCCCACCCACATTCAGCCATATCATTTCCAATTTGGTTGAACACATACAAAGAGACATAGCCTAATTAAATTCCGGCACTTTTGGCTGCCAAAAACCAAAAAATGTGTAATACAAATATTTGTGCAAAAGCAATTACCCCACTGAGTGCCAGTCAATGTTGGTTTAGAGCCAGTCTTGGCCATGCGGGAGATGGAAATGTACTTATATGTTCGAGAGGGGGGAATACTGCTCACATGAGTTTTCACACTTTTTCAGTCACATCCAAAGTCTTCACTGCTGGCAAGCGAAAATTTTAATTAATAAAATGTAAGCTTAGACAGAAAAGTTTGCCAAAAATTATAATGCCTGGACATACACTTGAGCAGTCGAAATATATTGTGTTTCAAGGAATATAAAACTAATTTTTCCTTCGTTGAAGCAACTATTACAAATTCGTTGGCCCTGGCCATCTAATTAGCAATTGCTCGAATGGAAAATGCCCCAAACATTTGGGCATTAACAAATAATTGGGTTCCCATGCAAATGAAGATTTTAAGCCAGTCGAACGTCAAATTTAACAGAGCCAAAGTAATTAGATATCCTGTTTAGCCGCATGGCACACAAATGCCCAAATGTATAAATACAAAACGAAAACACAACGAGCCAAACTCTAATTTTCCATTCCGCTGATTCCAAAATAGCCAATCCAATGGCGGCGGATACGGCGCTGGCTATAACGAGCTGGAGGAGGTGCCCGACGACCTGCTCATGGAGCTGATGACTCGCTTTGGACGCACCATCATACGGGCTCGAAACGACCTGGAGAAGTAAGTACGAAAATTAGAGCTTATTTTCATAGGGTTTATTTAAGGTAGCTAAATAAAACAACCTTTAAAAATTATAAATTTTTTCGAGCAGGCTAGGCTACTATATGTATATTTAAAGTTTAAATCCATTTATAAAATTAAAATTATTACCCAATATAAAATAAATTAAGTGTTATACCATCTAAGAGCTGAAAAAAAAAAACAAATAAAAAACAAATAAAAAAAGACTTGCTCCTGCAATTATTACCATTCCATTTAAAAATAATTTTTTTCGATTAATTGTAACCTTAATTTTTTTCTCAGAACATAAAGAAATTTTAAACACAGATAAATATATCTAATTGATATTATTGTTATTACTATTAATTTAAATAAACATTAATATTTAAGTGCAGAAAAAGCAGACATGTTTTTAATTTATAATTTCTTAAAGCAAATACATAACATGAGATAGTATTTAATCTTCTGCTTGTCAAAGTTATCTTCCTTTCATATTAGGATTTGGAAAGCACATTTATAAAAGCCAATTTATTAAATCAATTTCTTAAATCATATTTTCTGAACTAAGTTAATGAGATACATTAGTTTTTTCTTAGTTAGGGATACAACAAATAAGCTTTGAATTTTCCTCAGTTCAATTTACTCAATTTTATGAAATTGTATTTATTTATTTCCATTCAATGTACTTGTTTCTCAGCTCCAAGCGAACCGTGGACTTTGGCTTGGCCCGGGGTTACTCGGGAACCCAGGAGGCGAAACATCGCATGGGTCTGGCTGCGGCCAACTTCGCTGGCGGACCCGGTCGAAGGCGGCGATCGGAGACCGATGTCTAAGTCGTCGGCTGGGTGAATCCGAATCCTGTGGACGTTAAGGACGAGTGTCAAACTTCTCAACTTAAACTTGACCCATTCTTTGACTCTTTTTTAGAGCTTTCACTTGCATTACGTTAGATCGTTTGTTATTCATTGTACATATATATTTATTACCGATCTGTCCTCGTGTATTCATCGCATGTTTCTTAACAAGTGTTTTGCAGTATTACGGAAAATAAATATTTAACAGATATCGAAATTATATATACCAAAGAAGGCGATCACCCAAATAAAAACGTTAATCTGTTGCTCCGAAAGAAAATATTGAACACTATTTATGAAAATTTCTAACTCAGATTGAACTCAGTTCTAGTTACTCGTCTTAACCCAACAAAAAAGAGAATTACTTAAGAAGAGAAGGGAGAAATTTAAATAAATATCTTAAACATATATATTCAAGTGTAAGCAAAATCGCGCAAAAAATCTTTAACTAGGTATGTCTTACATAAACATAAAAGCTACACATGAGCACACTTTTGGCCCCCAAACGAAGCCATAAAAACCCCAACGAAACTGAAAGTTTATTTCATCAATAGCCGAACAGTCGCTTGTGACTTTTAAGTATTGTAAATATGAATTATTTAAAGCACACGTACAAAAACCGCGATACAAATATACATATATATATATACGGAATTCTATTTAATAATTATTGTGTCTATGGAAAATGCTGCAAACATATAACTTACCGTGAGTCGGGACACGATTAAATAAAAGTCTACATTTTGAGAAACTTCACATATTTGCAAGATTTTAAATGGGAGTTCAGGGCTAACCAAACGTTCAATTTATCTTTAATATTACCTCTTTTACTGGTTGGCTTAGTCTTTAATTTAGAAATGGGTTTTTATCTTTCCCCCCATCCAAGCACAATCGCACACTTGACCCAGGTGGTTGTGCTCCATCCATCTAATTTCCAGAGCTCATAAAATGTATTCATTTGGGAGCTGCAAATGCATTACAAATCGCTTACACAAACAAACACACCGAGCTGCAAATGCAATTGATTTTATTTATTTACAGGCGAATTAGAGTCGGCTGATTTATGCATGGCAGTCGAATGGTTTCCTAGGCAGATAAGTGGACTTCGAGGTACCATAAATGCCACTACATTTAATTCAGAGCTGGATATGTATACGATAAGAGACGATAATTAAGCCATAATGTTGTGCAAATATAAAAGAGCCAAATGCCGAAAAGTAAACTGGAATAAGAATAAACTAAAATAAATTAAACATGAACTCAGTTAAATAATATTAAATGGAATTGTGCAATGCCTAAAATTATGTTATATTTTGACATGGGACAACGAATAAAATGTTTATTTGAGTGCCGTGATTCAGAGAATTATTTGTTTGCTTAAATTGTTAATGGTCTTAAATGAATTCGGAAACGGTTTATGACATACTTAAACTTATTGTTATACCCTTTCAAACGGTATTTTAATTTTTTAAATTAAGTGAAATCAAAGTTATAGTTTCGATAGTTTCTTTGAGATGATGGTTTTAGGTAACGGTTTAATGTTTCGGAATTACAATTTTTGTTTTAATTTAAATCGGATGACTATAATGTGTATAATAATAATTTTTTATTTTAGATTTACGATTTTCATTTTATTTAAATTAAGGCATATAAATCTTAATATAGTTTTTGTAAGGACAATTTAATTTTTGCAAAAGCTGCCATGGTATTTAAACTTCGGCTTCCAAAGTTTGTTTCTCTTCTTGATGATTAATAAATTCCGCCTTGGGATATAAAATTAAATTAAATATCACTTAAGTTGTTTTTAGAAGTTGTTAATAAATTCCCTTGAAATATCAAATTATTTTTAAGTTGTTGCAGAATGAGTCCATATCGCTGTTCTTGGGTTGGACTTTCAAGTTGGGGTTCCAGAACTCCTGCAGAAACTTGCTGCCGATAACTGCGTCGATTTTTTCGAGTAGCTGGATCCTCCTCCTCTTGCCTGGAAATAACACTCTCCTTCTCCGACTTTAGTTTTATTAACTCTTCGTGTAGCCATTGATTTTGGAGAGCCAGTAAGTCTACCTATACACAAATAATAGTTGATATATGATTTTTAAAATGTGTGCATTTATTTCCACTCTTACACTATCCAATTCGAATTCCATTTCAGCAATTGTGTCATAGGCTTCATCCAACTTTTTTTTAACCAGGGCCATCTCCTTTTTTAGTTTCTCGGTTTCACTGTGTTCACAAGAGCATTTAAATGACCCGTTTGTATTTTTTAGGAATGGAGAAAATTTCATTTTCAGGGGATTCACATTTCTGTGTTTGCAGTAACAAGTTGTCGGATTCATTTGAAAAAATACCCGCAGTTAACCACTCTTAAAACGCAACTGATTTGAGCAAAATGCTTACTTTCCATTTTGGCTTTGAAGATATATGTATAAAGATTGGGGTAGTCACCCTAAATAAAGATAAAGCCGAAAGATACGTTATCACTCATTATTTTTTCTTGTAAAAGCTTAGCAGCCATAATTCGATGAAGTGTATAAATTTCATATTGCAGCTGAAAGGCTGCTGCAGAATTTTATACATTATAGGACAAACAATTTTAATAGTTTTCTTTTTCAGAAGAATTAAACTTATGAATTCGACAGTGTAAATTAATGTATTTTTTTCAGATAAAAATTGTAATGCCAATTCGGACAATAACTCGATTTCCACAAATTCTAAAAATCGAATTTCAAGATCTATAGCCGGTAAACCCTAAGATGCTAATTAAAGTTAGGTGAAATATTAGTATTAATTCTTTTTATGTACCTACCTTTTTAGGAGAAAAGTCAGTTTTGTTCGGTCAATGAAAAATTGCGATGGAGCAGAAAATTCTTGAGTAGCGACAAGTTACTGGTTGTCCTACTTGTTAAACGAAAGATTGAGATTGGGCCTGTAACAGTGAGCTATAAAATGCCACAATCCGGTGGAAACTGGCAGCTCCTGTATCAACAGCAGATGCAGCTCCTCCAAATGTAGCTGATTTTGGCAGGTGGAGCGATGTCTTCTTAACTCAGCCGCCGAAGGTTGGCCCGGAATATCCCCCATCATCCAGCATTGAAAAGCAGAGATCCACCAAGCCCAGAAAATGCTTTTTGGAGTGGCATGTATGTATAAAAGAACGGGCTTCGGAATTGCGGCGTACCAATACAATGGGACAGAAATGAGTACAGCATGTTGTAATTGTCGGTGATCAGCTCCTCCAAAGTGGCGTACAGGTTTAGACAGTCATGAATGCCCCAAATCGGAATTTAACAGAATCCAGTTCAGTTTGGGCAGAGACACCGTCTTTAAATGAACATAATAACTTCATACTTCAAAAGCAATAGAGCTGATATTATCGAATATATGGGTTTGCAAAACAGTATTGAGGTTCATTTTTGATACATATGCGTTTCAGTTGCAGTTCTGCAACTTGGCTCAATCGTAATCTTTTTACGAGTTAATCATTTTGTCTATTACCTAATAAAACTATAGCTTTAAATAATTCAATGCATGCTTCGTTTATTTGAATGACGGAATGAATCTTAGTCAATGAAAATACGAAATTCTTAAACTAATGCAAATATAAGTTTGAATGGTAATGTTGAATCTTAATTAATTACTCAGAGTGTTGACCTTTAACGGCGAATAAAGTAATCTCAGTAACATGTAAAATACTTATGAAATAGATGGAAGAACTTATTCGATTGGCACTTGTGGGTATGGATGCGAAACTACAACCTGTTGATTGGCGTTTATACATATAAACACGACAATAATAATACTACGTAAATCCAGGGCCAATTATAGCACCTCAGTTTGCATGCGCTTGCTTAAAAAAGTAATTGGTGGTTTCTTAGTCTACCAAGCTAAATATGTACAGTCTTGGAGCAGTGGGGATATAATGGGGATATTATTATAATCTGATATTCCGTCGATTTCGTCAAATTTTTACACCATTGGCCTGGCCAGTCGGAATCGGAATCGAAGGAGCCAGGTTGGTTCCGCCAGCCGCTGCCTCCGAAGTCATCAGCTCCATGTACTGGAACGGCACGTGGAAGCTCTGGCCCTTGTGCTCCACCAGCAGGTGGCCACGCCCGGTGGACGCACTCACCACGGTCACCGCCTCGCCCTTCTTCAACTGCAGCGCCTCCGACTGGCCCTCCTCCGGGAAGTTCGTCTTCATGACCCGACTCTGCGGATAGCCCAGCTTCGAGTTGCCGCTGATCGTGTAGCAGCGGGACGGCGGCACCGGCGGCGGACGTTCCTGTTCAATATAGAAATGTTGGGCATTTAAATATAATTAAGTAAACTGTAGTTTATTAAAAGATCTCTCTCTGTTGCATAGTTAAAAGACTGGTGGCTTATAACATCAATGAAAAGTATTCTTAAGTATCCAATTGGAATCTAAGAGTTTCTTATTGTTAATTGATATTGACAAAATTGGCTTTATCATATATCAAATACCATGTTAAAGTCAAAAAGAGACAACAAAAAAAAAATTACAAAGACAAAAAATAGTTAAATTAGGAAAGCAAAATTCTGTTGCCCAAAAATTAGACTTTATGTTATGTTATGACTGATTACAAACTAAAACCTAAACATGACATTGAGAAATAGATCTTCTTATAGAGTGTGCTTGAACTTGAGTTATTGATATTTAGAATTTACAATGTATTATAAATTCTTATTAATTTTGGGTAAACTTGTTAACAATTGTATAATGTTCTCAGCTTGGCTTTTAAGTTTTTTAAAATATAAATTTCTAATATACTTGAATTTCCTTAAAGCTTCAAGCATATTTTAAGAAGGGAGTAAAAAACATTTTGAGTATACCAAAAATGAAGGCATCGGTTATTGACTTTTAGATGGGTGTAAGAGCTAAAAAGGACCGACAACCATTATCCATTTAAACCATTTAATTTAATTTAAAGCATTTTTATGAGCTTTGCCCCTAAAATCAAGTTGTCCTGTATGTTTAGGATTTCCTTTCTATATTCAAATACACCTACCAAATCCAGTCCAAAGAGGTTACAGGTTTGCTGTATGATCTTTTGGTCGCACTTCTCATGCGGATCCGGCGGAGGAGTCCCGGCGATGGGTTGTGGTCGGGGTCTGGTCGTTGTGCCGCCAATTCCCAGTCCCGTTGTCTTGGCCGAAAGACGTGGCACTTGGAAAACACAGTACTCGGTTAGTTTGGGAATGGGATTCATGCCATTAGGATCCTCACCTGAACTGGGGGCAGCAGCTGCCACCGCTGCCAAGGCGGCCATTGTGGATGATGCGGCCTTGCTCTGCGCACTGGCATTGTGGGCTGTGTTCGTCTTGGCAGCCGGGAGCGGAGCACCTGCAGCCGGTCCTGGGTGGTGGCCGGCGGTTGCTCTGGAGCGTTTGACGCCGCCACTGCCCACCTTCTTGCGCCACCACCAACCGCGCCAGGTGGCCTGCATTAGGGTGGCACTCTTGTGCCGGATCTCCGTTCGCAAGTGCTCCAAGTGCTGGCGAATGCCCTCGCTGAGGAAGACATGCCGCTTGCCGGGCGCCCAGGCCAGGGTCACGGAGCCATCCAGCACCGGTGGCTGTTCCAGGGCATACTGCAGAATCAGCTGGCAGTCCTCCAGAGCCTTGTCCTCGCTGCGTCGCAGCTGGCGGAAGGGGGCCAACATCCGGTAGCGGGCATTGAACTGCTTGAAGCGCATGCGATGCGGAAACCCACTGGCCATCAGGTTGACCGTCTCCAGGACCTGCATCGATCGAATCTGTCGCACCACCGTGGCCCGATCAAAGCTGCCGGCCAACTCGTTGCCATTGCTGCGGATGCAGCGCACAAAGTGCGGCCTAGCATGCACCAAAGTGCGCAGCAGGTTGTCCAGTCTGGTGTGGAAGTCCTGCGTCAAAGTGGACACCGGCTCGTCCCCGTTGAGAAGATCAGAATGCGAGGTGGGCGAGATCCGGAAGCTGAGACCCCGCGGCGCCTGCTGCTGGGCATACAGGGCCTTCAGTTCGGAGCCAAAGAGATGGGTGGCGAAGCCGAAGTTGCAGGAGTGCTTGTAGAACACCGCAACCAGATCGTCCGGAACCACATCGCGATTGGTGTCCAAAAAGTCGGTGGTATCGTACTCCACCCGCCCCGCAAAGTGACGGATGAGAAACATGCGCGGATCGTGCGGCTCGGCGGTGGGTTTCGTCTCCAGGCGTGTGGAGCTGCGGTGCTGCACCTTCAGCTTGGCCACATAGCTCTCCGCCGTGCCCCGCACCGAGCACTCGGCATCCAGCATGCTGAGCAGACCCGTTCGCAGCGAGGATATCAGATCGATGCAGGGCACATTGTCCACGTAGTCCACCTCGGTGTCGCACACGATGCCCTCGTCGCGGCACGACTCCACCGATGATTTGAAGATGTGCGTATTGTAGAAATGCTGCATGGTCTCCGCACACAGGTTGATGCATAGGTGCTCCAGGTGTGCCTGTGGCGAGGGCTCCTCGAACCCGAACATGTCCAGAATCCCAATGAAGCCATCGGTGGCATGGCGGACCGCATTGTTAAGGGCCGCCATTGATTTGGAGCCCGCATTGCCGCCGCCAATTGTGGAGGCGTGCTGCGAGGCGGCATCCGCCTGGTTGTGGACCGATTCGTTCGAGTCCGAGCTGAGCGTGCCCAGCGTGGATCCCAGGCGCTTCAGGCTGTTGGCCCGCCGAACTATGGTGGCCACTGTGCGGCAGTAGAGCGCCTTGGCCAGGCAGTCGCGCGTCATGTTGGCATCGCCATCGCCGCACACGGACTTCACCAGCTGGCCGCGCACGTTGTGGGTGCGGGTGGTCAGTCCGCGGAAGAGGGCTGCCGGCGGAACGCCCAGCAGACTGGCCACCGAGTTTAGCTCCGTCTCCCCCTTCACGTCCACTTCAAGGCCCTGCGAGATAAGAGAATGCCTTATTAGGTAGTGATTATAAAACATTATCTTTAATTCTGGGTACAAAATTATCTAAATAATCTAACCAATCTAAAAAACTCAAAAAACCTTTCCTTTATCGAAAATGTATTAATTCTGCAATCGGCCCAATTTATTTTATAAGTTGATTTAAGCTATAAGTATTGTAAACCAAAGCAAAGCCTTAAAAAATAAACATTATATCTAACGTAGCATGCCTGTGCAGCATACTTCAGAGTGCTTTAATCTTTAAATACAAATTGGCAAAATAAAACCATTCCGAAGGCATTTAAATCATTATGGTAAAGATTTCAAACAAAGAGGATATTCAAAATTACGGAAGCATATTCAAACTTTAAATTTTATATTAAATACAAATTTGTTTCTGTTAAAAAATGAAACTCATTTTTATTTTAATGCGTTCTAATTTCATTACCATGTTTCTTAAAATAATTGAATAAACGAAATCAAAATATTTCTCGCTCAGAAAAACAAGTGTCAAACACGGGGTTTTCAGACGTAAATTACCACTTGTTGTAAATTAATACAAACCATCAGCGCAAGAAATTTTGGAAATGTGGTGAAATGCCCAGAGTGTGATTCGAACTCGCGCAAGCGGATTCGAGAGCGAGCACTCTAACCAAAGCACCAAGTCAGCATCGGCGAAAATGTTGACTAACAACAAACTTATACATAAAGTAAAATCTCCTATAGATGGCGGTACTGCATTAAAATGAACTGTAGATGGCTCTTTTAAAAGAACTAGAGAAGATATTTTTAGAAATATATGTAAAATATGGAACATATTTTATTTTCTTGCTATTTAAATATAAATGTATAATGTATTTTGAAAGATACAGAAGCTATTTTCAGAAATATATGTTAATAATAAATACATATTTAATTTTCTTACTATTTCATTTTCTTGCTGTCTAAATTTAAATGTATAATATATTTTAAAAGATATTGATGCTATTTTAAGAAATATATTATATGCTTTCTCTGCTATTTAATTTCAAGTATATAATACATTTTGAAGGTGTTTAAGCTGCTTTCAAAAACATATTTCAATTATGAAACATATTACATTTTCTTACTATTTAATTTTATTTACTACTACTCACCCCACCATCGATGAACTGGACGTTTCCGAGCAGCAAGACGGCGGCCAGGACTCGGACTACGTCCAGAAATGGAATGCCCAGGATGCCGAGACAGGTCTTCCACGCCTGGAACCTCACCGCATCCTCCTTCTCGTTCTGTCCAGTGTCTCCTCGCAGGTAGCGCAGATTGGCCGGCGAGTAGCCATCCAGATGGAGCTTCTGCCGCTCCTCCCGACTGAGACCGGCCAGCAGTTGGTAGAAAATGTGGTAGTTCTTCTCTTTGGGCAGCGGCCGGATGACGCGCGTCTGGTCCAGGAAGTAGCAGTGGATCTTGGTGCGGTAGAGGGCCCCATCCGTGACCTGCACCTCGATGAACTGTCCAATGCGACTCGACTCCGAGTTGGTGGTGGTCTTAGCCGAACCCAGGGATCTGAGGACCGTGAAGGCAGCGGCCAGGTGCTTGAAGGCATCCGTCTCGGGTCCTCCGCCGGCAATGGCGAATAGCTGGCGCAGCATCAGCATCGCATTGGCCGTCTTGCCCGCTCCCGATGTCCCCGATAGGATAATGGCCTGCGGATAGCCCGTCTCGCTCTGCTGACGCACTGCCTCCTGGACGATCTTCTGCAACTGCGGGGCCAACGGCAGGGCGCGGGTGGAGGTGAGGGTCAGCGGGTTGCCCACATCCAGGTACGGATTGATGGAGAGCAAGATCGGACCCACGTTCGTCTGAAACACCGCGCAAGATAAATGACAGTACATTAATTAGCCGGATGACTCAAAAGTTTTGCGGGTAATTTTCATAATTCCCAGGAATTAAGAAGTGAATTATACTTCAAACAACGAGGTCAGCGAGCAATTTGAAAGGATATCTGATAGTTATTTCTGGAATAAAAATTACATTTCATAGACAAAATCACAAACAACTCATTATTGCATTTGCTTAATTCACTAGTAGATTATTTTAAATTGTTAATATTATAACTCATTTCAATGTTTAACAAAATAACAATGGATTTTAAAAGATTTTGATCTATGTTCAATCGAATTCAAAGTTTAAACTGGCAAATATTTATTTTTAATAACTAAAGCTTAGTATTTTTTAAGTGTTTTATATTATTAATATTATTTTTTTATTGTCTTTAGTAACTGAAATTTGCTCTACAAATTAAGTTAACAACTTTTGAAATCTAATCAAAACGGGTTGAGGGCAACTTCATGATTATAGTTGTTTTAATGAGACTTTAGCAAAGGCACAGCCGACAATGTTTGAGGCTTAAACGCTGCCAACAAAACCCGATTAGATCCAAGTCCCACCGGGTATGTATATGCAATATGCTCGCACCTCATCCGCAACTCCGGTTACAATCTTACCCTCCCCGTGTCGACCAGATCGACTTCCTTTGCCTACCGACGAGTAATTGTCGAAATTAGCAAGTAATCTGGGGCTGAGTGCAAACGGAGTTGGTTTTTAATGGCAAACTATCACAATAATTGCTTAAGACCCGTCTCAGGGACCGGTTACTTTGTGGTGGCTCCCGATCTTCGGTGTCTATGGAAGTGATTTGAAGAGGCGGATCCCGCTAATACTCACAAAGTACCGCTGCTCGTTGAAGCGGGCCTGCAGCGTTCGCATCACGGCGTGCTCGGTGAGCGGTCCGGAGAGGTGGATGAGGTCTTGCATGTCCTTGGGCAGGGGGTTGGTCAGCTGCTGCTGCTGCTGCTGCAGCTTCTGCTGGCCACCGGCAAACCCGAATCCAAAGGGCAGCGTCTTGACACTCTGGCAGGGATTGGCGGGCTTCGGCAGCGGGATGAATGGCAACTGCTGGCTGTGGGCGTGGCTAAGATGGTGACCACCGCCGCCTCCATTTGTGCCCAGGTGTCCCGAGTTGGAGGATCGCAGGGGCAGCGTGTTGGAGTTGCAGTTGGTGGTGTTGACCGGGGCATGCGAAGAGTGGGAACCATGCCCCAGAATGTTTCCCATGCTGCTCAAGTGCGGCAGTGTCCCAGTGGATTGGCCATGTCCGCTGCCACTCTGGTGGTGCGACAGGCCCGGCTTCTCGACCAGCTGGTGCGGAAGTGGGTGTGGAATGGAGGTGTTCCTCGACGACACCACAGCCCCACCTCCTACTCCGCCTACTCCGCCTCCTCCTCCTCCCCCGGAGTTTGATGGCAGTGTTTGGCTGAAGTTGTGATTCTGTTTAACGGGAGAAAAAAATGAAAATATCTTTATAATAGGTATACTTAAAACTTATTACTTTAAAACTATACATTTAAAACCACTTGTATTACTTTTATTTTAAAAGAAATTAATGTTTTAGATCTCTGAAAAAGTTTCTAGGATACTACTAGATTTTAAACAAAGAAATTATTACTAATATATTTATGATTTTGGAAGATGATTGAAATACACTCATTACTGAAGTTTAAGTTCTGTTAGCCGGGTGAAAAATAGTAAATATCTTTATGTACAGAAGAGAAAATATAATAACAAACGTTTTATATTTTTAAGTTATTGTAATTTATAAATTTAAGATACCTTTTTAAGTTTCTTTCAAAGTTTCTAGAAAAATACTAGATTGCTAATAGCTAATTTAAGCTGAATTGGTTTATGGGCTTTAATTTAGCAAAATGGAAAAAGTATAATTTTTAATGAATAATTTCTGCCAGAAGTCCGCCTTTTTTTAAGACGTTAAGCTTAAGTTAGTTAACTTACCTTCGATGCCGTGTGGTGTCCATTGGTGTGCTGTTGCACAGCGCTGGCGGAAAGTCCTCCGCCGCTGGAACTCAGGTTAAGATTCGGACTGGAGGCATTCAGGTCAAAGTTGTTGGCCTTCGGACCCGCATTGGCCCCACCTGGGGAGCTGTGGGATTGAGAGCCATTTCCCTGGTTTGGCGTCTGATTCGGACCCGGTCCTTGGCCCACATGCAGACGATTTCGCAGGGTAACCAGCTCGGTGCTCAAGCTCTTGAGACGCTGCTGCAGATGAACTGCCTCGTTGGATGAAGATGCATCTAAAACAAATAAAATGCATTTTCGAATATTTAATTTTTAGATTATTTGGCAAATTTGGTGCTTGTCGAAGTTGAACTGTTTATTTAATTTAATAAATTTAGTTAGTTTATTACTTTTGTCTTCCCTATGTGAAATCAATTTGTCGAACCACTCCCGCTTCTTTTTTAAAACCATCTGTTTTATTTAATGTATGAAAAATCAATGTTTAAAATTCAGTTTCTGTTGTCAAGGCTTAGCAATAAAATGAATTAAAAATCTATCTTTGCTTTCTTCAAGAAAATATTAAATTAGATTAAAACATTTTATCTTTTTCAACTCGTATTATTCATGTAATAATACAGACTATACCCTAAGCTTGTGAAAAAAATGTATATTAGCCCAATAAAAGCATAAAATATTCCACAGAATATATTTATACTCCTTATGTTTTAAATGGAAAAATTTGCACAGAACAATTTAGTTGACCATTTTAATTTGGCCAAACGTTGACAGAGGAGCTCAGATGCTCTGCGAACGCTTTTGTATCCACCAGATGCCTTCCACTGGATTGAAAGAAGTCCTCGCAGAGGACCTCAGCTCTTCTGCTAACGCATCGGAAATGCATGGTCTAGTGAAGGAAGGACAAGGAAGAGGACTTGTCGTATCGCCCACTGATCATGGGAGGAATTGGCATGCCCAGCCTTAAGGCTGTGTCCTTCGAAAGAGGATAGACCAGGGGCCGCTGCTCCTCCACCCATCGGATCGGCTGGGTCAAGTGCTGGACACTATGGTCCAGCTTGATACCACACTTTCCCTGATGCTGCCGGAAACGCGAGGGCTTGTGAAGTTTGTTGTGCGGATCGCGGTAATAGTCACGGAACTTCTGACACTCCAAATAGAAATTGTCAATTCTGTCCAGATCGTCGTAGTCCACTGTTGCCAATCCAATACGGGGCGCGAAGCCTAGAATGGCTCGGCGTTGAAGCTCTGCATTTTGGGCCACAATCCTCATGTCCACCTCAGGGATAGGTTCGTTTATCATTTTGAAATTGATAATGTTATTAAACACTAATAGTGAACGTATTTAATATGAAAACTAACAATAAAACTGGCAGATAACTAAAGGTAGCTGGCCAACATTAGACAGGTGACTCAAGAGCTGTATGATAAGTTACGGAAGAAAATGTAATTGTTTGCGATTAAAATTAAAATGAAGGCTTGCCAATGCCTTTTTAATCATCATTTAGCTGTTACAGTTCACCACTGAATTTTAAGAAATTGTTAAACATATATATTAAAACTTCAAAATAGTTTTTAAAAACTCCCATTGTATGTTTTAGGAAAAATCTGACTGCTGCCTATAATAGCAGAAAATAACAACATTTCACAAGACATGGTACCAGTGAAGCAGCGATTCTGAAACATAACTTTGGGCACGCGTCGCTCACCGTCCTCGATAGTATAGTGGTTAGTATCCCCGCCTGTCACGCGGGAGACCGGGGTTCAATTCCCCGTCGGGGAGATTATTATCAAAGCTCTTTTTTTTTCTTTTTTTCTACCTAATTTTTATGCTTTTTCTCAAGGCTAGTTACAAAAATATAATTAAATTTAAATACTGAAATAGCCTTAAAATACGCATTGTATTTTTTAAAATACTAAAATAAACTTTAAAAAAATGAGCTACAGAATTCTGGCAGTTATTTCAGTAGTTAAGTAAATTATAGCAATGTTTTTAGGATTTGCAACAAACTCGTTGTAAATCGTTTCTTATTTTAAAGAAAAGATCGCAACATGCCTCCCCGACGTGGAATTATAGCAATGTTATTAGGATTTGTAACAAACTCGTTGTAAAACGTTTCTTATTTAAAAAAGAATATCGCAACATGCCTCCCCGACGGGGAATTGAACCCCGGTCTCCCGCGTGACAGGCGGGGATACTAACCACTATACTATCGAGGATGTTGAACGACGCGCGCCAATAGTTCTATGTACGAATCTATGTTATACTGATAGTTGTCTTGTGAAATTCAAAGCTATAGAGAAATCGAGATTGTAATAGATTTCTTCAATTGGAAACTCCTCGTAATATCAAGACTCATTATTTGGCGACATATTCATATAAAAATATTCACCTCCTCTTTTGAGCGAGAGAACCATAAAGATGGTTTCGTCTATTTGATTCTTAGGTTGCTAGTTGGTTAATTTTGTACTTTCTGTACTGGTCATGTGACTACTGGAGATGCCAGATATCTATCTTTTCAGTTTTAAAGTGAAAGGAAGGCAAGTGAGAATTAAAATGTAATGCAGCTTTCTGGTTAAGAAACTCCTTGGTTTAAAAAGGCTTGGTTTCGCGTTCAATTCCTCAGTAACTCTTAGGCAAGTCAGCACCTTTTTTAAGGTTAAAGGAGGTCTGCTGGTTAAGCATCCTTTTTGTTAAGTATTTACATTTGCAAGCATCCCTATAGTATTTAATTTTTTTATGTTTCTTAACAATGCATCTTAAAGATGTCAAAACAAACTTTCAGAAAATACAGTATTTCAAGATTTTTGATATTATATAGTTTTGCATTTTTTTGTAATCGATGTAGTAATGGTTCAGACTTAAGCTCTCTGCTTAAAAACCTTCATTATGGCGAAAAGGAATTTGTTTAGATCTAATTAACAACTTAATACAACGAAAATCAATTCACACCGATTAATTTCTCCTAGGCTGACACGCATTTATGCACGCGAATCGCTCGGATAGTCTTGTGCCGGTGGAGCAGCAAAAGTCATTTTAATAGATATGGATGGCAAACATTTACATAAAATGTTAATGAACCAATTTCGCCGAAGTTTGAGAAAAATAGAGACACCGAAAGCGCAAAGATGAAACACAAGTTTGGCGGCAGGTGGAAACAGAATTTAAAAGTCTTGTGTACATGTAGAACAGAAGATCAATGAAAAGACTCGACGAACAGCTTTTAATGCTTTATGATTTATAAAGACTTTTAAAACAGGGCCGAGAGGTCATTGTTACAACCAAACACTCCGAAAAGCTGGCAAACTAACGAGCATTTATAAAGCCAATGCTTCAAGAAACCAGTCTACCCAATTTTACGGTCCAAGCTAGAAATAAAACTAATTAGCTAGTGAAAAACGAGGAAATCTTGGAAAAAAGTACTACCAGCCAAGGTATGCCTTCCACCAAGGTATCTTTGAACCACAACAGAGAGACAGAGCTGAGTTTACAACAAAATCATAGTCGACAAAATACAGAAAAAACAATATCATTGATGACTTTAGCTCTGACAGGGGAAACCAGTTTTAGAGAAGGTTTTTTTTGCTTTCTGTTGCCCAAAGCTGCACTCAAGCAATATAAGACAAAAGCCACAGAAAAAGGTACAGAAAAGCCTTCCATCGAAGTCTTGCAAACAATTTGAAGTCTTTTAAGAGCTCGTATGATGATTAGACCTTTTCCAATTAGTGACCGACAAATCAGGCTTTTATTAAGCCTCTCGAATAAAAGATAAATTAAGTGGTAATAATTTCACAAACGAAAGCACCATTAAAAAAAGTTTGAAATATTTCTAAGTGATTAATTTTCAGTTTTATTGGCATTTCCTCGATGTTTTGGGCTGTAAAAGAAGGTTTTTTGCATGTCAATAGAGTTGGAGATGGCGAGAAAATTTCTTGGAACCGAGTAGCAATGTTGCCCAAACTGGTCGCCAAGCACAAGTTATCTGTCTTTGGGAAACAGAGTGAGGAGGGGGAACAGTCGCGTCGCACAAATGAAATGTTGCAAGTCGAGAGGCAAGCGACACCCATACAGCCAGGTACCCATATAAGCGGATTCGGTTTGTAGTTATTGCCGATGGTTATGAATATGAACGCGATCGACTGCGAATGCGCATGGAGGTTGATTGAAAAACACAAGCAAGTAGCCCAAGATGGCTATGACAAGAATCAAGAACCAATCAACTGACACTTTAGACAGATAGTTCACAAAAGAAATCAAGTAAATAGCTTGACCATTAAGGTCAGTGAAAATATTCATTCAATTCTGAAGGTCTTAGCAAATTAAAAGCTGTTCAAATTAAGCAAGAGTGATATTTAACTCAGTATATAAATAGTTGAACTATAGATAAGTTTTAAATGAAAATAAAGTGCAGAATAGAATGTGTGTGCAAAAAAAACTCCTCAAATAAGCACCAAAAAAAGCTTTACGGTTTGTTTAGACTTTTAGTCTTTGGCAGCTTAATAAATTCAAAATGTAGTCAAAAGACTTAAGCAACAAACCTTAAGATCCCGAAATTATCGTTAGTTGTAAGGCATTTCGGTAAACCTTAATGATTCTTAGAGCCCTGCTGTAGTATCTAAGAATCGAATAACCTAACATCGTTGGCTTAAGAAAACTTTTTAAAAGACTTAGGCAACAAACTTGGCCTAACCTTATAAGTAGCTTATGTTTAGGACTTTCGAATGCAGTGTGTGGATATTTTATAATTTTGATTTTCCCTATTTCCAAATAAAATATCGCAAAGCAACTACCGTGAAAGTTGTTTCTGCCAAAGAATGTTTGACATTTCCCAAGTTAACTCCATGGATTGACCTATCTTTCCATTGATAAACTCTAATTTTCCGTGACTAACCTCCTTGCCATTTGCAGGGACATCATTTAACTTACCCTGCAGCTTCTTCTCCGTCTCCCAAAATTTTTGCAATTCGGTGAAATATTTATCCAGTATGAAGACTTTTGACAGGCCCAATGTGGCCATCGTTGTTGAACATTTGTGTGGACGACGACGGTTTTCTTATTTGAATAATTCCGTATTTTTCGTATACAGGCTCTCGGCACAACACACAACAACACACTACGGCACAACACCGCACTAACACACTAGCAAAGAGTCGCGGCCGGAGGAACAGGTTTGCAGGCCAGGCACCGTATCTATGGCATACAAACCGAACCCGAATCCGAATCCGAATATGCGAGTACCCACATAAAAATATATATATATATATACGTGGATATGGGAGAGGGATATATGTGCAGCTGCAACAAGTGAAGCAACCGCACCGCACCGCACAGCACAGCACAGCACACGAAAATAAGTAAACAAGCGAAAAGAATGCAGAAGGGCGAGTGGCGGCGGCGGCCAAAAACCAAACCAAATCACAGTGAGCCTGGCTCTTACTCTTGGCTCCTCGGTTTCCCGACGGGTTTTCGTTTTGGTTTTGGTTTTGGCTGTGTTTTTGGTTCTGGATCTGCTTTTGCTTTTCTTTTATATTATTGTGCTTTTTTTTTTTCTTCTTCTCCCCCTGTTGCTGTTGTTGTTGTTGTTTTCTTCGCGACCGCGCTTATTTTCTCGTTTTGTGCAGACTTTTTTGTTCGTCGTTTTGGTTTTGAAAAACGAGTTTCCAACTTTAACTCCAGGTCCAGACCCAGTGTAGATGTGCGCTTAGATACCTCGACGCGATACCTCCAAGGTACACACCAGCCAACAACCAACACAGAGGCGAAGTTTCTTAGCGTTTTATTTTCAGATCGATTCGTTGCGATGTGATGGATTCGCTGGTGGCACTTTCAACTCACTGCCAGCAGCCGCGTGACCTCTTCGCCGATTAGTTATAAACTTTAATTGGATTTTATAATGAATGCTCGAGTTTGTTGTGTGAGGAAATGGAAATGCAAAGAAATGCAAATGCAAACGCGAACGCGAACACCCGATGCGAGCGATTCAAACTCCAGCGGCAGACTGAGGTGATCTGCCATTGTTCGTGGCTCAAATTCGATCTTGGGTCTCTCGACTCTCCACTCTCCACTCTTGACTCTCTGGTTGAAATGCTCTCCCACTTTGCAGGTAACTTTTCTAGCAGGTAAAAGGCATAGAAGGCTCTGCCTTGCGAGATGCGATGCGTGCAGTTGCTCAAATATGGGGTCAAGTGTTTGGGCCTCCGCCCGCCGTCCGTCTCGATTTGCTGGTCGCGTGTTAATTAGCGACGATTGTTTATTGTCTTGCTGCATTTCGCAATTCCCACAGCGCCAAACACACTACAGGTAAAATGCAAATTGATTCTTAAAAGTGCTTACACGAGTTGTTCTTTGTTTCGGCAAAGTATTATGTCACGATTTACAATAATTATTATGCATAGCCAACCTCGTCAAATGGGCATACATTTTCAAATCACATAAATATTTAATTTTTAAATAAACGGTTTTACTGCTTTCGGACCATGAACTGCTTGACGGCTGATGTCGATTACTGGCTGAACGAGTTATCGGCACAACCGGTCACATAACCGGTTCGTCTCTATGGCAGCCCTGGAAGCAAGCAGTTTACACTACTTAAAACCGTGTACTGCTTTTTAATTAATAACAGTTGGATATTCAAAATGCCGATTCAGGCATATAAATACATATTTTACATATGGAACAATTTTTATGGCCATGGGAACAACAAACCAATTTACTTAATATACGTTTTATTTAAGAATGCGTTAGTTCCTAAATACAGCTGGATGTAAATGTAATGTTAAAGGATTTTTGTAGATTTTTTTTCCACACATGGGAATATACTTTTTGACAATGATATTTTTCAATATATATATTTTTTTCAATTATAAGTTTGTTTGGTTTTAAAATCACCTTTACTGTGTCCGAGGTTTTATAATTATAATTAACTTACCCAATATTTGTTTTTTTATTACCTGTTATATTGCCAGTGGTCTTGTTGCAGGATTTCTTCCTCTTGGGCACAGGCAGTGTGTAAATGGCGGAAAACTTGGAAAACCTCTCAACCACAGCGTTGGTCCTGTGCAACTTAAGATCCTTCAACTCCGTTTTGTATTTTCCTGTCGGTGATTTGGATTCCACAACTGGTGTTGAGGTTTTCCTTTGCTTTGGTGAGGGCGTTGTTGAACTAAAAATGAGAAATTCGAAACAATAAAGCTTATTAAATCAGGACTTTTTTTTAAAGGATTTTTCTTGTTAAAAAAAATAAAACTACAGAAATGGTTTTTTTACTCTTCTCGCTTGATATATGTTCAAGAAACTGGGAAAGGAACTGTGTAATGCTTCCAATTATATTTTGTAGGTATGGCACTGTTTGCGAGATGTTTGCTAAAACTCATTCCTTTTTGATCAGAAATCACAAATTTATTTAAGCTATAAAAGCAATAAAGTATCATTAATCAATTAAATATTCTAATAGATCACAGAGCAAGGCAAGCCTACCTGACTGCCTTGTGATACTGGCAGAAGAAGTCGGGTCGCATGCGATGGCGACAGAGGAAGTCCTCGCACAGCCGCAGGACATCGTCCTCCTCGCAGTTGTCGCTCTGACTGGTGCTCTCGCTCTCCTGATCCGCTGCCAGCACCTCGTCCTCATCCTCCAGTCCATCCTGGTCCAGCCGCAACTCCCGCCTCTTCTTGGGCCGTGCATCCCCATCCTGCTGCTCCTGCGGACTGTAGAGGAAGGCCGGCAGGGAATCCCCCAGAAAGTCGGGTATGTTCTCAAAGAAGTCCGCCGTTCGCTCGTAGCTGCTGTTGCTGGCATCGGAGCTCTTGGATCGCTGTAGTTTCGACTTCAGGCCGCGACTCCGGCTCTTGTGGAAGGTTAGCAGCTGGTGGTGGTGGTGGTGGCGGCCCACGTCGTAGTCGGCGTACGTCTGGTCCGGAAGCAACATAGCAGCCTCATCCTGGTAGACCCATGCACAGGTCAATATCTGCAAGAGCAGGAAACTACAATTAGAAATCACTAAGATGAACAAAAAAATCATTGAAATGCAATGGAACCAAAAAAAAATGTACAGGGTCGAAAAACTATTTCGAAAAGCAGGTCAAATATTAAGCCCATAACTAAATAGCTGATATGATCTCCATTAATAATAAAATAGATTATTCTAATTGGTTTGCTTAGCTAACACCTTCTTATCATCAAAATATAGAATGTTGTTTTGGTTTTTGTAAGAAAATGTATATACCTTTTTGATTAAAAACCAAACAAATTTTATTATAACACAAATTGCACATGTATACCAAGGTAAAAATTAACCCAAATCTTAGCAACTGAAATAATTTAAAACAAACTCCATTTTAATAATAACCTTCTAAATTAGTAACCATCAATTTAAAGATTGTTGTTGTTTTGTGGAAGGTGAAAAATGCAAATGCCTATTTAATAAAAAACAAAAGCACTTCCCTTTATATACAAAAAAATATTAAAATACATATTAGAAGAAAAGTACCTCAAGAACCAAAAGGGAATAAAATGGGTCTTTGCCATCTGGCGAAAGCAGATTTAGCTAACTTTGAGCTGGATTTGGCCTGCTTTTGGCATCTTTGCCAGACAAGACGAGCCGCGAACTGCAGGCGAAAAATCAATCGCGACATCGATTCGCATTTTAATTGCTTTTAAATCAAGTGCGCATGCGTCTGGGCGCAGGATTGCATGGGGCTTCCGCGTCTGCAGGTCCATAAACCTGTCGCTTTATTGGCGCAGCCGATTACCTCGATTAGCGTGACCATGACGAAGGTGACAGACACGGACGCTAATGCCTTTTACTGAACAGCTCAGTGGTCGGAGCGTAGCTAGACGGGAATGGATCTGGTCTGGGGGCGGGGCTGCGGCTGACGCTGACGCTACAGGTGGAAATGAACCAGGACATGGAGGTGGACATGGAGATGGAGAAACATTTTGCAAGCGGGGCTAAACAGATGAGTTGTTTGGCCAAATGAGACGCAGTATTTATGCCACACGTCGGGTACTGCTCCGTGTGGTCTACCAGAAGACACTGACTATGACTCTGCCTGTTGGCAATTAACTGAAATGATTGTCATAAAGTGTTGGACGTGTGTGGAGGCACATGTGGCCGCCATCAGCGGCAGTAATCGGAGACCAAGCCGTTGGCGTCGGCATTTTTCAATGTCAACACAGCGGGCGGCAACGTTTGACTAGAAGGAACACAAAGAAAAAGTTTCACATATTATTATATATATTTCACATTTTACTACCATTAAAACTTTTTCCGCATCCATATTTTTTTCAAAAAAACATTTTAAAAAATTTTTTTAAAAACACTTTACTCATGATAGACTCTTCATTCCGTATGAAGGTCGAGATCTGTCTGTATAAAGATCAAGATCGGGCTTTTAGGCATGTTAGAGGTCAGTTATAAATGTTTACTCGGTCATTATCTGTCTACTCATACAAAAATGTAGCTAAATAACGGATAACTAAAAGTCTGGGTAATAGACTATGGCGTAGCTTTTTATTATATAAATAATGTTTGGTAATTAATTTTGTGTCCCATAACATGTAATTTTAAAACTTGTTCCATCCCCTAAATTTTTTTAAAAAACATTTCTAGACATACTTTTATAAGAATACAAATGGAAATTGTTGTCACACAAAGAGGTTACTATAGCCTTTGGAAATTTATTAAGTCAATTTCAAAATTAATTATTCTTTAAACCTACACTAGTTAATACTTCGATTTTAATCACAGTAGGCTTAGTTTATTTTAAACACTTTTATAGTGATAAACAAAAAGTCTTCTTCCTGATTTTCTCCATGTGTAAAAGTCTGAGATCGCTGATATCTAAGCCACTTCTGGTTTATTACGCAACATTTGACCATAAGCTATCTTAGGGGAAAGAGGTTGAGCCTGAAAGGGCCGTTCTATTCCCACAGGTCCAACCATCTAGTACTTTGATTTTGTCAACTTATTGCTGCTGATTGGCTCCACATTTCCCCGCCGCACATGAAGGCTATCTCTCGACTGACAGATTACATGGGCCAAGGAAATGTTTGGCCATAAATCGGCTTAACCAGCAGCGGAAACGAAACGGCAGCCATAGCCATAGCCATGGCCATCCCATCCGGAACAATTTGGCTATCTAAACATGGCTAATCGCCTGGCCCCTTCCTTTGAGTATGAATAAAATATGTCATCTAATAAATGCGCACGGGGAGCTGAATCTGGAGTTGGAGCTGGGCAGTTGGGTAGTTGGGTAGCTGGGTATCAGTATCAGGTAGCGACATCGCATAAAATAAAATAAATCTCATAAATATGCAGACCGTGGAGGGCGGGGAGTTGGAGATGCAGATGGAGATGCGGTTGGAGATGGTGGAGAAGTGAAGAAGTGGAGAAGGTTCCTCCAGACCCGTTCGCTAAGAACACATGACTGGCTGGCTACCTGGGCAAAAGTTCTGGCTGAGCTGCCGACTGACTGCTGCCCCGGCCGTGGACGTAAATTTATTTATTCTAACTACGACTACGATATACAATTTCCACTCCAATCTGTAGAGTGGAAGACAAACGCTGCTGTGGGTCGCGGCATTCTCCCCCGCGGCTCCTCCCTTCGGCCCTTCAGATCGCTTTCTCATGTGGGGGGCCGCAATGGCAATTTGCAATCGCCCCGAACAGTTCAACAAATCAGCATTCGCACAGCTCAGGTATGAATTCATAAGTACGCTAAAATTTAGACAGATAGAAATGTTTCCTCTCCAACCGCATTCCGTCCGAGTGGGAAGTTGTCCACAGTTGAGATATGTCTGGACAAAGATATGCAATAATGGTTAGGGCATTCCAATAGCTTCAGATATTTATTCAAAAACCTAACGGAGAATCAGTATCTTCAGATATTTGTAACGAAGAATAATACTTAAATAGGGGCCATATCCCTCAAAAATTCATTAAAACAAACCACTCGAAGGTCTGAATTCAAAACTATAGTCCAAAGGCTATGAAGGGCTTAACGACGAGTTGGT